ATTATCTAACACATAGACCTAAATCATTGCCAAATAGCCTATAATGTCCTTTACAGAAAAAAAAGAAAAGAGAAGAACAAAAAAGGAAAAAATCTCCAGGCCAGTGATTTTTTTTTGTTTGTTTGTTTTTCTTGGAAAACTAGAACAGAGGGTCTATAAATATTTGATTTTTACTTCACTGTTAACATACTTTAAGCATTCTAAATAAATTTTAAATGTTTTAAAAATAAGTTCATATGCTAAATTTTGACACATTGCAGCCCACAAACTCGTAATATGCACAACTTGCTGAATTTATTTTTGTGTAGGCCTCAAGGTTTCTCCTGCTGCCTCTACTGAATTAAAAGGCATTACAACATTCATTCCCTGTTCATCCATCATTTAGCAGTGTTAGTAGTAATGAGAATCTACTATAGCACTGTTCTAAGTGCTAAGATGATAATCAGCTGTGATCATTCATAGCGATTTATCTATGAGTATGGCAAAATCCATAGAAATACATCCTGACGCTGAAACTGATAAAATGCTACAACTCTTCATAATCCTTCATCTCAAATCAAATAAACATCATCAATATCTTGACTGATTTTGTAAAAATCAAACATTATAACTTGGAAGTTGGAAAATAGTCTATGTCAACAATAGCTTTTTATTTTAAAACATTTTTAAAGTAAATATTACACTTGCCTTTTTATTTTGGTGTTTTATGTAACTTTGTACAAAAAAAAGGGGGGGTTGTTTCTAATAACATTTAAAAATATCTTGTCTAGACCTGTAGTTTCTGAAGGTTTTTTCATGATACACCCATAAGTTTAAAAAGCTATTGTAGTCCCTAATGTGTATATGCTGGCTTATTTATATAACAAGTACCTATCAGTGTACTAGTATTTTATATATATTATAAAACTTATCCCCCAAAAATATTTAAAGAATGATGTAAAAATAAAGATAAATAAAATTCCTAACAATTTCTCTCTTGACTCCATTGGGTTATCCTGTATAGCCATTGAGGTTTTTGTACCATGTTTTAAGTACTTCAAGTGTGAACTATTTTCTGCTTTGTTACCTATTTCAGGTTATTGTTTTAATAGGGCGACTACTCCTATACTATGAAGACCTGTTTAAAGGTCACTTTTTCATAAGAAATCCTCATTCATATTCATATTTATATACCACCTAGACAAAGGTCATTTTTCTTGGGGTGTGCTCCTTCATTTCATATTTGTTTGTAAATATTTGTGCACCACTGCATGACTGTTACATTTTTACTTGTCATAAAATTTTAGATAAGAAGCTTCAGGAAACATTTGTGCTAGAGATAAAGAATGATGAATCAAAGAGGTGACTGAACAGAAAACTATTTTTACCACAAGTGTCACCACCCACCTCCTGCTCCTAGAAAATTATTTCACACATTGAGAAGATATAGAAAACTCCGGAAAGAGCATTATTTCTAAATTAGCTGTAATTTCATGTTCAGTGAAATATGTGATAAGGAAATGAGAAAGGCATAGCTAAAATCTGCATGTGTGTCTGTCAAACAATTGTATGATTGTTTCAGCCATAACACTTAAAAGGCAACTAAATTATTAGATCTTTGAGGGCAGGCTAATCTTTTTTGTGTGTGTCGTAATGTGCCTTTGCAGATACAGGAGCTCAAATGTTTGTTGAATGAATGTTAGTGGATCAATGAGTAAATGAGAATTTATGCCATTTTCCCAGATTCAATACAAATACTTTTGATTACAGTTAACAACCTGAATTGCTTAGTACATATAAACTACCATAAGTTCTATGTTCTCTTGGAAGTCTCAATTTTCATGATGCTAAATCTTCACACATCCATAGTTTCATATATCTGTACTTCCCTTAATTTATGTTAATGGAAACTCAATTATGACAGTCTGACTTCTGACATTTTTAAATTATTCATACATGACGTGCTGTATTATGGTTTTGTTCACATTTCTTCTGCATTAAGTTCATTGAACTTCCTGCATATGTGATTATGATTTTCATTAAATTGGGAAATTTTTCATGTATTATTTCTTTAAATATTTTTTCTGACTATCCCTGACCTCCACTTCCGGGACTCAAATCATATATATATGTGTGTGTGTATATATATATACACACACATATATATATAATTTTAAGTTGACTCAACTAACTGAAGCTCTGCTCATTTTTTTTTCAATCTTTTTTTTCCATGTGTTTTATTTTGGATAGTTTCTACTGCAAGTCTTTACATGCTCTAATCTATTCTTCTGTCTGATCTAATCTGTTTTTAATCTCATCCACTGTATTTTTTTAATCCCAAACACTATCATTTTTATCTCTAGGAGTGAGACTTGGGTCTTTGTTATATCTTTATTAGCTCTTCTTAGAGTTCTTATATTTCATTGAACATTTAGAGTATCATTGTAATAACTCCTTTAATTCCCTTGTGTACCAGTTCTATTATCTATGTCATTTTCTCTGCAACATGGGTTACACTTTTCTGCTTCTTTGCACACCTGGAAATTTTTTTATTAGTTCTGGACATTGAGAATTTTAGCTTTGTGTGTGCTGGATATTTCTTAAATATTTTAAGTTTTAAGTTTCTTTGTTAAATTTCCAAAGTAGTTAACTGTTTGGTTCTCTTGAGACTTAAGTCCAAGACTTTGCTGATTCTTCCAAGACTTTATTAGGTGGAAAGTCATGTTTAATCTAAAGCAGGGGTCATCAAACTATATCTTGCAGGCCAAACCCAGCCCCCTGTTGTTTCTATATGTCTTGAAGGCACCACTCCAGCACTGTGAGCCACAAAGACAAAGCCAAGACATCCCCCCGACTCCCAGAGGCTGCCACCCTGCCAGGAGCTGTGCCCACTGCTGTCCAGACCTGGCTTAGGCTGCCACAAAAAAGTTGGAGACCTAACTGGTGACCATCTGCCAAAAATTAAGCAGTAGACTCTTAGTGAGTCAGAAACTTAGCAAGTCAAAAAAATTTGGAGGTACTTCCATAACAAGAAACCCTACTCCCCACTTGACTGGGATGGGCTCTCCCATGTGGTGGGCATGTTTTATACCCCATTGCCTTTTGCTGGAGACATTCTTGTTATTAAAGCAGTGGCCTGAAGAGGAAGGCCTGGCTAGTATGTGGGAAGGGGCGGTAGTGTTATGGACTGAATGCTTGGGGTCCCCACAAAGTCTAGCCTCCTTGGCCTTTCTGAATTCTGAACTCAGAGATTCCCCTGAGCTCCATTCAGGTTCTCCTTTCTCCAGACAACAGCTGTGAGGTACTGGCAAGCCTACCCCTGCTGTGTTTCTTCTCTCAGAGATCACTGTCTTAATGCTATCTGCTGTCCAACGTCTGCACCCCATTGTTTCCTATATTTTGACTGGTTTTATGTTTGTTCCAGGCAGGAGAGTAAATCGGTCCCTGTTACTTCATGATGCCTGATGGTGTAATTCCTGACTTCTCAAATTTGAAGAAACAAAATATCCATGGAATTTAAAATTTTGATGAATTAAGTTCAAAGGAAATAAGAAATGGCTTTTGATAGAGAGATTTCTAATAGGTTAAAGTTCTATTTTTGACAAGAAAGTAAAATGTCCACATTGAGACAAGCAGAGAATTCAGAAGTTTTCCCAAAGGACTTGTGACAGGTCAATAGTAAAATTATCCTTTATTCTCTAGGAGGCTGTGTCAAGCGAATATAGTCTTCATTTAATTCTAAGGGTTTTTTTATGCATTGAATATCAACATTTTGGAAGGAAAATAGGTCAAGAAGATGACATTTCAATAAACAATGTCGTGAACAGGATGATGGATTTATATGCTTACGCAAAAAGATGAAAAGCTTAGTTCTTGCTGCATTCATTAAAAAGTTAAGGCACCACCTATTACAGCAAAAGAGATATTAGCTAAAGCAATGACTCTCAATCATGATTTTTAGGCAATGCAAACTGCAACTAATCATTTCAAAGAATATTGAAATTCTTTCCCTCAGACTGTAAAACTTAAAATTAATCATTGACTTAAAAACAAAAAGATCGTTTAAATAATCAAGTAATTAAACTAGGGGTTGATTTTAAAGAACCAGAAAGGAGGGGGGATAATTTTCTTATTGCTGATTCTATTCAGTTAAATTTTAAATCTGTCCATGATTTATGCAAGTGAAATACATCTACAATAATAATTTAAAAACCATTTAACTCTGGTTTTATCTATGAAAAGGGCACTTTTCTGAAGGGTGTGCTTTTCTTACCCCTAAGATGATATCTTTCTGACAGAAAACACACTGAATTGCTTCTCAAGCTACTGAGTTCATTGTGACAGATTGTCGAGGGAAAAAAAGCTTATTTTCTTCTTGTCATTAATAGTTAATTGTTATTGCAGTTTCTCAGATGAGATGTGGGTTAGGGAAATCATATCCATCCTTTCTAAAAGTGCTGCGATATTATTAGAGGTGATCACGTGGCAGAAAAATAAACCTATTCTTTGGGGGACTAAATGGAGTTGGCATATAGATTTTTCTTTCTCCCTTCTTTTAAAGCACTTTAGAGAGTCACTCACTTTTACAAGTAGTCCACCCGGGGTAGTAAATCAGTGTTAATGTTTCATAAAACCTTCATGTTCTGGAACAATTTACCTTGATGTATCTCTAAAGCTTGCCTTTTGGAGGGTAACGGGGGTGCCCGTGGCAATGCTTCATGCATTACCGAAGTGTTTCTCTCACCAACTCTACTGCCCAGGTCTCTTGTGCAATTATGTTGGCATTTAGAACAACATCTTACAGTATTGTGAGCTACTCATCTCATCTGACACCTCTGGGGTTTTGAGGCTTCCCTAATTGGAGAGAAGAGTAGAAAAAAGGTGTCAAGAAGGTCAACTGGTAAAGAGAAAAAGCAGAATTTTAAACTGTCCTTAAAACATAGCAGAAAGTCAAAGAGGTCTCTTTTTTTAATTTAATAAAGCTTTATTTTTCAAAATGTACAGCTGGTGGGGTCTGTTGTTCATGCATCTTCACCAACAGCTGGAGCATCCCCACCTTTGGTGTTTCTGGTGTAAATTACTTGAGCTCTGTGCTTTGAAACAAGTTCAATAAGTCCTTCACTAAGGAGCCCCTGAAGGACTGCCCTGGCCAAGGAACCGTGGATCTTCAGTCACTCAGAGACAACAGCTGGGAAACTTCCTTACAGAGTTTGTCATATGTTGCTTTGTCAAACAAGACTAGGTTATTGAGCTTGTCCTCACCTTTGCCTTTGGACCACTTCTTCTTTTTGGCCTTGCCCCCTGGTTTGTTCACTTGATCTTTGTCTTTCCTGGCCAGCTTTCCAGCATCTTTCTTCTTCGTGTCATCCTTGGGCAGCATAGCCAAACTCAAGGAGAGCCTGCTCTCACTGCTACCTGAGAAGATGCTGGACGAAAAGGAAGCCAAAGAGATACCCTTGACAATCCCTCCCAAATGGGCAGTGTCTCTTCTAAAGTGTTCTTGACTGAAGTAAAGTGAGCTGAAATATTAAAATGAGGTAATATTTTAAAAACAGGAAAATCTTGATGTAATATTAGTGAATGATAAATAAAACCATTGAAATTTTGCTCTATTTGCTGCTTTAGAATTAGGCAAAGTCTCTAGTTTACAGGGCAATGTATTGGATAATGAATGCTCTAGCAGTAGAGTTGAGCCTTATGACCCCTGTTTACAGCTATTTAACCTGGAGTAAGTCACTGACCGCTCTGTTCTTCCTCTGTAGTTTCCTCATTGGCAGAGTAGACATGATACAGGGACCTGCTGCATAGAGGTGTAGGAAAGTTCAGGGAACTAGTATATGCAAAGCTTTGAGTAAATTCTTGCTTTGCTATTAATAATCATAAACATCCAGTACAAATTATATTTGTTTAAAGTATCTGGAAATATACAATGAAAGTGGCCTGGAGACCAGAATGGCCTAGGTTGACAGGCTAAGATTTCTGCTGTGTTTTGCATGAAGGTCAACCTCTTCCTACGAGTATTGTTCAATTAGGAGCATTTATTTAACAGCCGTGGCATTTATTTTTGAACATTTGTAGGCAGGGCTTTTTTTTCCTCCAAAAAAAAATCACAGAAGTTAATTAGAAAATAAATAACTTAATCTTCCAGACTATGAGCATAATCTCTGTACTCATTTTGCCTTTAAAACTGCCTGAAGAATTTCATATTTGAGGACATGTTTACTGAATTTCTGACATGAAATCCAAACAAAATGAAGATGATGATATCATATTTTGTAGGCACCTGTCAGTTCATAATAGTGTCCCATGAAAATATTATTTCAGAGGAGCCTCTCCTTGACAATATTGTATTGGTTCAGAAACTGTAGTTGTAACCATCAAATGCAAACATCTAACACCCGTGCTGAAAATACCATTTTCATCTTGTATTTTTATTGACATGAAGTTTTATTATAATTAATCTTCATCTTCCTGTTCTCACTGTCATAGACAAATCACAGTGATACCCAAGGGCACACTGATGTTTTGTTAGATGCTTCATTACACATTCACTAATATTCATGACCCTTTGGAAGAATAATCAGTTAGATCCTAGTTAATGCTGACAAGATATGCAGTCATGGAAGTGCCATAATGCATTTCAATTAGGTTTGATTTTCTTACCTAGGATGTCTTAAAGCTAACTGGTTCAGAGAGCTTTTGTATTTCTGTGAAAGACAAGCACATAATTGTGCTATTTGTTAAGGAAAAAGATATATGCACGATGCTGAGATTCTCATTGTCATTCAAAATGCTAGATGTGTGTCTCCTCATCACTGCCTAGTTCTATGTGAGAAACTACTTAAATTCCAAACATATTTATCAGAGAAATGTTTTCTCAGTAAGCATTTTCAGGCAACATTAGTTTTTGGTATAGATTTCATACTTATATAAAAGAGCATTTTTGCATTAATTTAATATTCAAGAAAGTGGTCCTTTAAAACTTAAGTAATTGTTAAAGAATTAGATGGTCATTCTTGGGAGAACATATTTGCTGATACATCTGATAAGGGGTTAATATCCAAAATTTATAAAGTACTTACAAAATTCAACACCAAAAAAGCAAACAACCCAATTAAAAAATGGGCAAACGACCTGAAGAGTCCAAAGAGGACATATAGGTGGCCAGTAGACATATGAAAAGATATTCAATATCACTAATCATCAAAGAAATGCTAATTAAAAGCACACTGAGATACCATCTCATACCTGTCATAATGGCCATCATCAATAAATCAACAAACAAGTGCAGGTAAGGACGTGGAGAAAAGGGAACCCTTTTGCCCTATTGGTGGGAATGCAGATTGGTGCAGCCACTGTGGAAAGCAGTATGAAGATAACTCAAAAAATTAAAAATAGATCTGCCTTTTGACCCAGCGATCCCACTTCTGGGAATATATCCAAAGGAACTCAAAACACTAATTCGAAAGAATATAAGCACCCCTATGTTAATTGCAATGTTATTTACAATCTCCAAGATATGGAAGCAGCCCAAGTGTCCATCAGGAGATGAGTGGATAAAGCAACAATGAGACATTTATACAATGGAATTCTACTTGGCCATTAAAAAAGAAGAAGAAGAAGAAAATTAACCCTTTGCAATAGTACAGATGGACCAAGAGAACATTATGCTAAGTGAAATAAGCGAGTCAGACAAATATCATATGATTTCACTCATATGTGGAATCTAAGGGACTGAGCTAACAAGAAAAGCAGAAACAGACTCATAGATGGAGAGCAGATAACAGTTAATGAGGGGGGTAGATGAGGGAATGGAGGGACTGAGCAAAAAGGAAAAAGGACTCATGGACAAGGACAACAGTGCGATGGTTGCTGTGGGGAGGAGGAGACTATAAGGAGACTAAATGGTAATGGAAAAATATAATGAAGATTATATATTTTTAAAAAATTAGATGGCTATCCTAAAAGAGGTTAATGCATTATGACCTTTTACCGCTGATTTTAACACATACTTAGAAAATAAGGGGAAAAACCTCAGTGGAAATAACAATGTTATGTCTACATTCTTTAAGTCTAGGTATTTTTAATGTTACTACTCAAAGTTAGAAAATATATTGGACAATTTCACCACTTGATAACTGACATTTGATAACTGACTTCTACAAAATAAAATCCAGGGACTGTATGTGCTTTGAATCCTCCTGTTCAACCATAGCAATTATTTTTTTAATCTTAGATGAAGTTTTTATTGAGACAGAACTACTTAAAATACCTTCAGGGTAGCAGATGCTTACCTGGATGTATTTATAGGGGAACAGTCCAAACAAGGTGTGATAGTGACACATGATAATATCAGTGGAAAAGTCCAGCTGTGTTTACATGACTGCTGCTAGCCGTTTATCTTCTCCTTGCGTGATATCTTACAAAAACAAATTACTATCACCTTCTAGTCCAAAGTTCATCTGAATAATCCAATAATTGGCTCACTAACATTATGTTCAGCTTTGTCCATGTTAGATAATATATCAATAGGGAAAAATGTTAAAACCTAAAAATGGGTTTCAAAAAATACCTTTAAAGAAAATACAATATTGAATAGTGTTTATTTAGTCAGTATGTTTAGCTTCTCCCTCTCACTCTTAGTTGATTACATTGATAGATGACACCATATTCAGTCAATTCTGCATTTACTGAGAGTTCAAGCAATTAAAAAAGTAAATACAAAGATGAATATTTTTGAAACTTTTCATCAAAGAATTCAAAATATGTTGAACCCAAAATTTATAATATAGTGGTAAAGATGAGCAAGTAGATTGTATCCATTGTGAATGCTTGAAGCAGCAAGAAAAAAATTCAATTAACAGAGGCTCATGCAATAAATAATTTTAATTACTCACATGTAAGAAATCTACATGTGAGCAGTCTTAGTCAGATGCAGTATCTCAGCAGTGTTCCATTCCCTGGTTTTGCCGTCCTTGGCATGTGCCTTCTAGCCTTGCACCTTCTACCTCCCACCTCATGGTTACAAGGTAGCTGCCACATCTCTGACCATTATATCAGTGTTCAAAGCAGAAATGAGAAAGAGGCAGAGACTCTCTGGTGCTTGTCTCTTCTATAAGGAAGCGTAAGCTTCCTGTACATGTCCTGCATACATGTTAGAATTGTGTCATTGTGACCACATTTACCTGTAAGGAAAGGCTGCAAAAATGAATACTTAGTTTTTGCAACCCCTGGAGGTGGCAAGGGAGAACAAAAGAGACTTGGGAATTGCTGTTGAATCAGTTTCCCAATAATATCTCCACACAGACCAATTGAGAAAGGCAGAAACAAATCGGCTGTAGGGGAGGAAAAGAGCAATTTCTGATAAAGATTTCATGGAAGCAGCACTTAGGCTGGGACTTTAAGGATGAATAAGGTTTAATAAAGGAGTTAGGGGCTATGGAACAATTCAGAACATAACAAGCAAAGGAAAAGCAAGAGGGTATAAAATGACACGGCATGTTGGAGAACGAGCAAATAGCAGTATGGTATGTCTAGATCTAAGAGAGTGTATAAATGTGCTGGTAGGGAAGCTGTGTGCTGAGAACTTAACAAAGAAATTTTGAGATTCATTTATACAGGACTCTTATTGCTATAGTAAATACTTTAACTTTCAGTGGTTTCCCAGAACTTACAAAATCATAATCAAACTCCATAGCCTGAGAATTGAGGCTCTTGCTAATTACACCTAGTCTGCATTGCTTGTTTGTTCTTTCCTATCACTATACCCTATACATGTGTCAATAGCTTTAGCCAAAATGGAGTTCTTATCAACCCCCCTACACACACCCAGATGCACAACACCCTCTTTCTATATCTATATAATGCCACCTGCTATGGTCTCTACCGAAGTGTTCTCCCCATCCCTTTCCAAAAGGAAGTTCTTCCCATCAAGTCTCTTTCCAACAGGAGATGTAGCAGAATCATCTCTGAGCACCTTAACCCTTTTTTGAACTATGTATTATCATATTTTAAGCATAATACTTTCTCGGGAAGGGTGAACTGAGACAAATCATAATAATAATAATAATACTTTCTCGAGAAGGGTGAACTGAGACAAATCAAAGCTGCTAGTCTAGATTCAGTCTGGAAAAACCAATGTCCAACCTCAGTTCAAGGTTGCTTTCTTCTCACATGGCTCCTAAACAGGCAGTCAAGCAGTGCTAGGAGCATACACAGGATTTGGAGACAAGTGAGTGGACGTAGCTCCCCAGTGTCTCCTTTGTCCCTCATGAAGTCATGTTCGTAATTCATTGGCCAATTCAGGCCTGTTGGGGAAAGGAACCTACCAGATCTGAGGAGGCCATACTGCAGGTTCAGTGCCTACCACTTGGCCAGGAG